ACCCACGACTGTAGTAGTGTCACTGTGTTATGATGTTGGATCTGCGACCCGATAGCACTGATTGGGCAATTCTCCTCAGCATGAAATCGAATTAAGTTTAGGTCGCCTGACCGATTACCGGACGTTCCAGTGAACTAATTCTTGTGAAGCTCGACGATCAATGGCGTATCTGCAATCCATTGAACACCTATCGTTTAGAGTGGTATAGACCATAACTAGACTCATTTAGAGCATGAATCCCCGATATCTGGTGCTTGCTCTCCTAACTGGTTTCAGTGCTATTTCGAAGCCTCCGGTTGGAATTTTACTGCATGGGACTTAGTGCAACACTATCTTCATCATCATCTTTGTACCACGAATTACAGCAAAGCAAACATCGCTGGTCGAATCCAAACTCAATATGCGTAAAATAAATATAGATGCACGAAATGAATGAGGACGGAAAGGTAAGTAAGCAAACGTCTGTGCTCAACACAGAGCACATAGTCCAACAGGGCATACAGTATTTTGACTTGATAAGGTGCCAAGAAGTCAGTTTGGCAGACAAGCTCGTTTTCGGTGCATCATTTACTCTTTTATAGGTTATAAGTTACGGAAACAGGAAAACAGTAGATCACGTCTGTGTTTGTACGTGTGTGTGTGTGTGTGTACGGGGTGCATGAGATTTTAAATCGTTCTGCAGATATCATTGCTACCATTTAATGAATGAAGTACATACGCTTACTCTGCTTGATCTCCTAATGCATTTAATTTAACCCTGTCTCTACATCACTTGTTGACCTCCACATGGTTTTTCTTTCCAGCCCGAAACGGCAATTACAAATAGGGCGCGGTGTGGTAAACTGCTGTTAGGCCTGCGCAACAAGTGCTCTAACCATCGAAGTCTATTGATCGGAATTCGATGTGATAACGAATTTCTCTTCAATGCCATCAAAACACGACGAATTACCTAGAGGTTTTCAACCAACTCACTCCATCCTATCTACACCAGACTAAGTAAGCATAGATTGTTGAAAACCTCAGATCGATGGTTGCCTTCTACTAGCCTATTCAAGGTCTCCACTACAAGGCGGAACTGGTTGAAGCGTGGTACAATATACATCACCATTCAACTTCAGTGACACGTTACATCGACGGATAGATGTTTCATTCCCATAAACTTTGCTATAATCTTGAGAGTACGCGTGGCTAGGTCATCCACAGCCCTACCGTCATTGGTTGCGTAACTGTCCAAGTAGAAAAAGTAACCAACTTCTTTCAGTTCAATTTAAAACACCATAAGCCATGTACTTTTGTTCGGCGGTATTGGTTATCTCTGCCCATTTGGATAAATGGGTGACGGGAAGACTGGAATGTTGAAAGCAATGTCAAGGTGAAAATAGTGAATTTATGCAGACTGCGGTTACAAGGGCAATGATGCACGAGTACCATTATTGACGACACTCATCATCCTCGCCCGATTTCAGAATTTACATGATGATTGGAATCAATCATTTCAGGGGCACTATGAACAGTAGTCGCGAGATCCCTTCTTGGAATTCAAAACGATCAGTGATTCTCCTCAAGATGGTAGAATACACTCTTGTGACCACATGTTTTGCAGTAAGTGAAAGAAAGGGCCCGTGAGGTTATCGCTTCCATCGTGTGGGGCAAAATCCGTTAGGTCCTGCTACTTTTCCTCTCTTCAGAGCTTGAATGCAAGACCGTACTTTCTCTTCTGTTCGAGGATCAAATCGCATCACTCACAGTGCTTCAGCCTACACAGACAGCAGAGTTTTGCTAGCGCCGGACAAACCGAACTGTTTGTAAAAACACCACCCAGCGATCAAGCTGTTCCTATTTAGAATAACTTGCTCAGTTTTACCGCTATAATGTTATTGTTCTAAAGCTTGTGTGATGCGTCAATTTTGTCCGATAAGTTTGTGGAGGTGGATGGTATTGCAATCTTTTTGAAACACATCATAAATGTTCGCTTCCTCCCGTTATCTATTCCTTTTGTTCGGCGTCTTTATCGACTGTTAGTCTTTTTGGACATGATGAGAGTTTACCTATTGACTCTCACTCTTTCATCTCACGATTCAGGTCATTTTCATGTCTCTCAAATCGCCTCGATTGTTCTCGTTGTCAATAAGGGAACGTTTAAATTTGTTATGTAGAAAAACGAGTCAACGATTGTTATTATTATTATTATTATTATTATTATTATTATTATTATTATTATTACTGTATTTGTTGCTCCTGATCATCATTAGTCTAGTGTCTCTTGGAATCTTACATGAATTAGAATGCTTCTGTATCGTATGGTATCAGAGTTTTTCTCATTTTCTGATTCCTGCTTTTATTTTCACACAGGCAAAGCTGTCCATTATCCCTGAAAACTGCCCGGCCTGTTTCAGCGCACCGAAAGAACGGATGCGAATCAAACGTATTCTGGCCGAACAGGAAATCCTCTTCNTCCTCTTCCCACATTTGTTCTCCAACTTGTTATCCGCCATGATGCCCCTGATTGAAGAGGGTACCACACGCCCAGAGAAGAAAAAGGCTTGCCGTCAAGTATGTGCATTTCTCCGTGACAAGCTGAACCACAAACGTTGCTCTACAGGGGATTCGTCTGCTCTCGAAACAGACATCTCAGAAGAGCTGGAAATCGAAAAACAGAAACAGCATAATACCGTTCAAACCACTGTGATCCCGCGACCCCGCGGAAAAGCGTTTTGATTAAACCCATGCAATCGCCTTCAAGTGCCTTGCTCTCAATTGCCTTTATTCTCTAGTTCCCACATCTACTTCTGTAAAGCGGCCAAAACAATGATTCCATGTCTCTGGTTTTAGGCTTTGATATCATTTTACCCAGCGAAACTCTACTTTGGGTTGGATGCTTGTCACCTATCGCTGCCTGTCCATGAGGACTTTCTCCTCACCGTCGACTCCTCCGGTAACCAACTTTGTGCTTTTCATTTTCTATCGGTTTCCCATGATTCATCCTCTATATTCCTCCTTTTTCGTTCCACTGTTTCTCTTCTCTTGAATTATGTGCTTTATTTTTCTCCAGAAGATATTGTTCGTTTGGTCGACAATGATTGCTTTTACACCACTGGTGGGATATTGCTCTTATTTGGGATAGTATTTGAAGCTCTACTTTGTCTTCCAAGTTAAACTCTTCGTTTAATTAGTCTCACTAGGCTAAATGCAACCCACCATGAACTTAGAGGGGATCTTTCCGTGGTAGACGATACGTTAAGCTGGTGCATATCTCATGGGTCAAAAGCAATTAAGAGTTTAAGGTCGGCCTAAACGTAAATCAGGGATAGTAATAAACTAGCGGATGGGAAAACGATCACTCAGGTAGTTAACTCTGAATAGGTGGGCATTGCTTTACTGAATGAACTCTCACAGGCACTCCGCGTCGATGATTGTTGATATGGTTGGTTTTCGCTTGACCAGCGATTTCATTCAAACAAGAAGCCACAAATGTGACTTGCCCACATTTAGTCCGCCCCCAAATAAGATGGTCGTTAACCTTTAAGTTACTCTATAGCTAAAGCTTCGACAGAAAAACGCCGGAGGTGCATCGTTTGTACAATACTCTCAAACCGACTTACCCCTGAAAGTAGTAGGTGACTTTCCGGTTTTCGCATTCACTGTCACGGGAGGTGACCATTAGTATTTGTGTAAAATCTTTATTCTCTGTAACAGGTAGGAGTTGAAATGCTCCCAGTAAAACAGTTATTTCGGATCATTAATTGTTCTTCCTTGAGAGAAATATTTGAATAATACATTATTTCTTGATTCCAAAACTCATCTGACCAAAAACAAGCTTAGCACTAAGTGCAATCAACGGGGTTTTAGGGCGGTCACAAAATTTGATGTGTATTACGCGATTGGGCGTTGACTGATTTTGCTTTTCATTCCAATGGTCACGAATGGGCTATGACCGGTTATCTTGATCATCGCTGTGATCCATGCTCGAAATAGTGGCTCAGATGACAACCGCATTTCGAGTAGCATGTACCGAAATGAAAGGCTTATTTTTGCTGGACTTGCGAAGTGTGCAATATTGTAACGAGAAGGCGAGTCGGCTGGCAAAACGTTTATTGATTCAATTCAAAAACAACCGGTGTATGCGTTCAATTACATACAATCAATTCTCAATCACGCGGCAGGATGATTCATGCCTCATTCTCTTGGTCCATTCATGTTGGTTTTGGTCCGCACTTGGCACGTACTTTTTCTCTTCTTCCGCGTGCCGTTCCGACTGGTTTAAACCAAACGTAGCGAGAGATACGTTGATCGACAGCTCCGATGTTGTGGTATTCGGTGGATATCTTTCTGGCTA